GCCCCACATGAGAATATCTTACAGCCCAACATTTAGAGCACTCACCTGAGGGGTGACAGAACACTGTTCAGATCCCTTCTCCTGAGTGGGTCTTCAGCTGGGGGTATCCCTCATCCCAGATGAATGCTCTAAACACTGGGCTAAAAGTTGAGATAGGTCCTCCTCTTCCCACCCTCCTCCACTTGTTTAGTGCAATTTTATGTCTGGGACCAATCTGGTAGATGAGCTCTGAGCATGTTTAGCAGATTGGGCCCTGCAGATGAGTTAGATGGAGGAACTCCTACCTTCCCTTGGTTCATGCATTGTTCTGGGGCTTGGGCATCTGGACACCTACAGTGGGCCTGCAATGCACATGTGCAGGGCCATAAACATAAGTGCCTAGGGAACTTTTTGCTGCAGAACCTTGGGGGCTGAGCAAGTTTAGGCACCTACAGGGTTCAGTGGCAGATAAGTTGGGGTTTTATGAATCCCAGGGGGGCCTGATTTGGGGATTTAGTTGCCTAAAGTTGCAATTAGAGACGTAAGTCCTTTTGTGAATCTAGCTCCTCATGTCTGTGGTTATAACTGTATAACCAAATGGTCAAAAGCATTCATCTTCATACTCTACCTCAAAACAAGACTCTGTTTGGTTACTGTTTGCATAGCCTAATCACTCATTGTTTGATAGTTCTCTCTAGTTAATGCTTTCTAAATATTATAGGAGATACATGATTTTTAAGGTGGTTACTGAACACTACTGTTGATGAGAAAATATATTTTAAAAAAGGACCATATAAAGATCTTGATGAGCTTCAGATATAAACTATGGAAAGCGAAGTGCTATAAGGAATACACAGGTGCCATACTTTTATATATTCCTCTTTGTTTCTTTAACATTTTCATCACTGAATGTGCCAGGCAATTTAAATTTATGGGATATAAATTCTGTTTGTGGCCTAGTCTACACTAGAAAAGGTTTGCTGTTACAGCTATACAGGCAAAACCTCCTAATGTAGACAAACTTCTACTGGTTCCTCAAATGAAATAAGGTATATGTGACAAATATAATTGCATCTACATTAGGGGCTTTTGCAGATATAGAAATGTAAAAACAAAAAAATCCTAACCCTGATTCTCATTAGTGTACTGGCCACAGTTTCTAGTGCAGTCCTGGCCTTGGAGACTGTCAGGGTATGTCTACATGGCATTTTGGAGCAAGTGGAAGAGAGCCTCCCAGCCTACCCAGCCCAGGTAATCAGATTTGGGCTAACTGGGCTCATGCTAACCATCTCAAAATAGCTGTGTAGACAGTGCTTTGAAGTTATGATTCTGGCTGGAGCTTGAGCTCTGAAGCACACCTTCCCTCCCTAGATTTTAGAGCCCAAGGTGCAACTTTAAAGCACTGTATATGCAGCTATTTTTAGAGCACTAGCAGAAGCCTCACTAGCCTGTCTGTTGACCCCAGCTGGTAGGCTCGCTCCCACTCAGGAAAATATGCTGCATAGACATACCATCTTGTGTGTGCCAAGGATTGCATTACTGCACTGTATTTATCCCTTTGGTGCTATCTTAATTTTGCTGCTCTTGGCTAAAAGTTGAAGGACTGTTTCATAACAGCAGAGGCCAAAGAAAACTGTACACATCCAGCACTGATAAAATAAAGCCTGTGTAATGCTGGCAGACCAGGTGCCAGCTCATGTCAAGGCCCCTAGGTCTCAGCTGAACACTGACAAATACATGACTGGAACCAATATGGCATACCTGTCTGTTAGTATTGTTAAAATAACTATTAGAGTTAGACAAATTTGCTTAGTGTTTAGACTTTATGGAATACTCGTAAATTGTATTTATGTATTTATTTCACTTATATCATCTGTATCCCATGTTATAAGGTAATAGTGTTTGTTCCATGACTATTGCTCCGTAATGGCAAACCACCAGTCAGAAGGGAAGTATTATCAAATTTGCAAACTGCATACAATTAACTTAGGCTTGAATAAAGACTGGGAGTGGATGTGTCATTACACAAAGTAAAACTATTTCCCCATGTTTATCCCCCCCCTCATTCCTCACACATTCTTGTCAACTGCTGGAAATGGCCCACCTTGATTATCACTACAATAGGTTCCACCACCACTCCTGCTGGTAATAGCTCTCTTTACCTGATCACTCTTGTTACAGTCTGTATGGTAACACCCATTCTTTCATGTTCTCTGTGTATATAAAATCTCCCCACTGTATTTTCCACTGTATGCATCTGATGAACCGATCTGTAGCTCATGAAAGCTTATGCTCAAATAAATTTGTTAGTCTCTAAGGTGCCACAAGTACTCCTTTTCTTTTTGCGGATACAGACTAACATGGCTGCTACTCTGAAACCTGTCATTATCAAGTGTGAAATACTAGTTTGCCAGAGGAGGCGTTATCTCTTATTCAAGAAAAAAAGACCCATCAACAGCAGATGAACCACTGTGGAACATCAGAGGACAAAAGACTTTGCTGATTGCTTCCCTCACTGCCCAAAGAAGAGGTAAGGACGGAGCAACTGAATTCCTCCCAGAAACTGAGCTCGCAACATGAAGCAGAAGAATCGAAGGAATAAAAGGCCCTAACAAGCAGTAACTATCTTGTATGCTGCTTGAACTCTAAGGGGCCAGGATTACTAAGCACAAGCAAAAGGACATATAGAGCTTACTCAGAGAAGTATCTATTACTTTTTGTATTTATATATGTTTTCCTTCTTTAACCTTGTAAATAAGTTATCTTATTTTCTTTTCCTAGTTAATAAAACTTTAGATCGCCAATCCTATAATAAACTACAGGCACGGTTTTTGGTGTGAGATCTCAGGTGCAGTTAACCTGGGGTAAGTGACTGGTCCTTTGGGACTGGAAGTAACCTGAATATTTACTGTGATTTTTGGTGTAAGGGACCATCTATCACAAAGACACTTACCTGGGTGGCAAAATAGATCAGAGTACCCAAGGGAAACTATCTGTGACTCCATGTTAAGGCTGTTATAGTGCTTAAAGAGTTTATGGTTGATAATTTGTTGGTGAAGTCTAAGTATAGAACTCTCAACCAATTTGGGGTTTGTGTCCTGTTTCTTAAAAGTCTGCCCTGAGGTTGGAATCCATGCTCTTGTGCCACTGCAGGACAGCTTGATAACTTTTAAAGCCCAGATCCTCAAAGATATTTAGGCTCCTAACTTCCATTAAAATCAATGTTGTTTGCAGTATGTTGTAGCCATGTAGGTCCCAGGCTATTAGAGCAAGAAGGTGTGCGAGATAATATATTTTACTGGACCAACTTCTAGTCCAACAAAATATATTACAAGTTTCAGAGTAACAGCCGTGTTAGTCTGTATTTGCAAAAAGAAAAGGAGTACTTGTGGCACCTCAGAGACTAACCAATTTATTTGAGCATCCGATGAAGTGAGCTGTGGCTCACGAAAGCTTATGCTCAAATAAATTGGTTAGTCTCTAAGGTGCTACAAGTACTCCTTTTCTTTTTGAAAATATATTACCTCACGCACCTTGTCTCTGTTGAAATCAAGTGGAAAGACAGAGGGATCAATCTTGACCCCACTGTACATAATAAATGGCAAAAATTCTCACTGACTTTAATAGCAGACGGCCCAAAAAGAGAAGAGTTTCATAGAACAGCAATAGTAAGGTATCCATAGTAAGGTATCCACTCAAGTGACAGAAAATCTGTAAGGGATTTTAAACTTGAGTATGTTCCTTTAAAAAAAAAAAAGGCAACAAAAAACCAGAAAGTCAAGACTGATCTTTCCTGGTTTTCCTAGATAATTTTTTGTTGTCAAAGGAGATGTATATTATGAGCAATCAGATCTTAATCTAAAGCAGAGATATTGAATCCTTTCCCCCATGAGTTACTTCAGAATATTAGTTAAACAGGTATTTAAAAGTTTGCTTCATATTTGTTTTGTTAGCAATCTGACTCAAAGTTCCTTTCTCCTTCTACTGCTCTGATCCTTGTCTCTTGATGTATCAATGTCAGTAGCACTCCACTAACCAAGATCTGCCAAGATAAAAAAAGACCTAAATTTCTCTTGTTTAAAAAAAAGGGGGGGGGGGGGGGGGGAATTAACAGAATCCTTTCAATCATTCTTTTTTCCATTAAGAAAAAAGAATCAATAAGAGCAGAAACTCACTTTACCTTCTACAGTTCTCCTTTAAAGCTATTCTAGTTTGTAAGTTTAACTACATATTTCTTACCTTGCAGTTAGTGACAACAGTAGTTTCATTTAAGATATTAAAATCTTATCACCTGTCCTGTATCTAAACTGCTGCAGAAGCAATTTTTCCCCCTTTAAATCTTATTTTCAGAATTTCTCAAGTGCCTGCTACCCTACTCACCCCGACCTTTGGCTGAGTTGCTCAAGTGTCTTTGATGCTATACCACGGAGCAGCGAGTCTCAATTGTTTTCTCCTTAATGCAACGGATGTGGTTACTTGCTTGTGTTTCCCTAGGTTGTTTTGTGGCTGAACCAATAATATCCTCTTCGCGCTGCGGAGAGGGATTTACACCCATTAGCATCAGGCTACTTTGCAGTCTGCCTCTCCCCACCTCTCCCCCATAAAGCGTAGCACAGAGATTTCACCACAGACGCGTTTATATCAGGGACGCCCAGGGAAGAAGCGAGCAGGCTGAGGGGCGACCCGGTGCCGCTCTCGCTGCCGCTAGAAATCCCAGAACAAAGTCCCCACAAGCGGCAGGCGGCGGCGCAGCTCGCGGGGCGCTAGCAGCGGCTGGGCGGCAAGCCCCGGGGTGGGGTGGAAAGACTCTGCACCCCCGACCCCGTTGTGCCTCCCCGCCCGTGCGGACGCAGCGCCTCCTCCCCCAGGTAAAGCTACAGCAGGTGCAGAGCCGCGCCCTCGCGCGAGACGCATCAGAACCAGAGGCGGCGACTCTTCCCCGCCTCCCCCCAGGCCGGTCCTCTCAGGGCTTTGCCTCCAGTGTCATGGCGGAAAGCGGAACTGAACACCACGTGTGATCAGTCCTCTCGCGCGAGGCGCGCGGTCTCCCCGCGGCAGCCCTAGGGCTGTGGCAGGCGCCCGCCCGGAGTCCTCCTGCTCCCCATCATGCAGAGCGCACACGGCCCGCCGCTCAGACTCTATGGTAAGGACAGATGAGCCGCCCGCCGACGAGGCGGAGGCGGGGCCGGAAAGAAGATGGCGACGCTGGTGCTGGATAACGGCGCCTACAATGCCAAGATTGGCTACAGCCACGAGCATGTCAGGTGAGACCCGGCACCCGCCGCCGAGAGCCCGGACGGCTGCGCTGCGCTGCTCGGCGCCACGCACGGAAAAGAGCCGCCGCCGCCGGGTCCCTGCTCCCGAGAGAGCCTGGGAGGGCGGCCCGTGCCCCTCAGGCTCCGTTGGTCTGTCGGCTCTAGCTCCGAAAAGTAGCGAGGCGGCCCGGGCCCGGCCTGTCCCCCTGCGCTGCGGGCTGCCGCTCGGCCCCGCAGGAGGAGCCTGTGAGCCCGGTACATCCGCCCCGGTCCTGAGGCTGCGGCCATGCCGCCTCTCCGAAATTAAGCGTGAGAGATGCGATTTCTGAGTAAAGTTGTGCCCGACTCACGGGAACATCCACGGCTGAAAATAAAAATCCTCCCAGGTCAATGTTCTGTCCCCAGACGCCCCACCGCGCGGTCGCAGACTTTTATGTTTCCCGAGCGGCAGTGGGCCCCCGAGGCCCCGCCCCACTCCGCCTCCGCCAAAGCCCTGTCCCCGCTCTGCCCCCTTCCTGGAGGCTCCCCACTCCCGCTTGCTCCTCATTGCCCTCCCCCAAGCGCCTTCCCCACCGGCCAGATAGCTGATTGGAGACCCTGCCCCCAAACAGCTGTGGCTGGTGGGTGCTGAGCACTCCCTGTTTTTTGTCCCTGAGTGCTTGAGCCTGGCTGGGGGTCAAACCTCATGATTTTTGGGCCAATCTCATTATTTTTGGGGTCCGACTCATGATTTTTGATCTCATGAAGTTGGCAATACAGCTGCTGCTGCCTGCGTCGCAAGGGGAATAAGTGCTGTGGCTGCGGGTGGGGCAGTCCAGGAGTGGGAAGGCTAGGGTGACCAGGTGTCCGGTGTTTGACTGGAACACCTGGTCGAAAAGGGACCCTGGCACCTCTGGTCAGCATTGCTGACAGGGTCGCTAAAAATCCAGTTGGTGGTGCTGCTTAGCTAAGGCAGGCTAGACCCACTGCACAGTGCCCTGGAAGCGGACAGAAGTCCAGCTCCTAGGCGGGGGGGCATGAGGTTCCACGCGCTGCACCCGCCCCGAGCACCAGCTCCTCACTCCCATTGGCTGGCTGGCTGGCCAATGGGAGCTGGTCCCTACGGGGGAGAGCAGTGCGCGCCATGGAGACTCCTGCCTCCCCCCCCCCCCCCACCTAGGAGCTGGACCTACTGGCTACTTCCAGGACGCAGCGCAATGCCCCAGGACAGGCAGCCAGCCAGCCTGCCTTAGCCCTGCTGCGCTGCTGACTGGGAGCCACCCGAGGTAAGCCCGTGCCCCAAACTGCTGCCCCAACTCTGAGCCCCCATCCAAACCCAGAGCCCCCTCCTGCACCCCAAAACCCTCATCCCTGGCCCTACCCCAGAGCCCTCACCCCTTTGCACCCCCATCCACACCTTGAACCCCTCATCCCCAGCCCCACCTCAGAGCCCCGATCCCCCCAGTCTCAACCCACAGCCCCCTCCTGCACTCCAAATCGCTCGGCCCCACCCCCTAGCCTGGCGCCCCCTCTTGCACCCCAAACCTCTCATCCCAGCCCCAGCCCAGAGCCAGCACCCCCAGCCCAGACCCCTCACACCTCCCACATCCTAACCCCCTGCCTCAACCCACAGCCCCTTCCTACATTCTGAATCCCAAGGCCCCCACCCCCAGCCTGGAGCCCCCTCTTGCACCCGAAACCCCTCACACCCAGCCCCACCCCAGAGCCCACACCCCCAGCCAGAACCCTCACCCCCCTCCTGCACCCCAATTCCCTGCCCCAGCCCAGAGCCCCCTCCTGCACCCTGAACCCTTCATTTCTGACCCCACAGCCTGCACCCCCATTTGGAGCCCTCATCCCCTCTGACACCCCAGCCCCAGACCAGTGAAAATGAGGGAGGGACGGGGAATGTAGTGAGCGGGGGACAGGGCCGTGGGGAAGAGGCAGGGCTCGGGTGTTTGGTTTTGTGCCAGTAGAAAGTTGGCAACCCCAGGGAAGGCTGAGGAAATTCTCAAAGCAGGAAGCTCCCTTCTTCTTAGGTTTCACACAAAGTGTAGCAACAGCTTTCACACCCCGGTACTGGAAAGCTTCAGTTAGTTAACCCTGTACCTTGCCAACTAAAACATATCTTCCAGAAAAAGGCATCCAGCCTTGAAGACATCAAGAGATGGAGATTCCACCATTACCTTGGCAGTTTGTTCTAATGGGTTAATCACCTAAGCTGTTTAAAAAAAATAAAGTGGAGGGAATTTATTTCTAATTTGTTTTTTTTTTCTTGCTTTAACTTCCTGTAGTTATTGAATGTGATCCTTATCTTATAGCCTTAAGTGATCTTTTCATGTATCCTAGGCTCAGACCATTGAGTGTCGGGCAACTGCCTCACGACAGTTTGCAACAAAAAAAAATGTGATTGTTAAGGAAGGAAAACGTTCTTAACCTGTGGTTGGAAGTTTCTGTAATTTCATTTAGCACCTACTGTTTGATTCTACATGTTGTCATTGGCAAGACAATTAAACAATCTTGTGGTGTTGCGGTAACCAGGGTAACTGCTACTTTCTAAAAAATACAGTTACAGAATATTATGGAAAAGGAAGTATTTATGGAAATGATGTGAAAATGCACAATATGATTTTTTTATATCATATATGATACAATGTGCAAGAAAACATTCTTAACTTTTTTTCAGTGTTATTCCCAACTGCCAGTTTAGATCAAAAACAGCACGTTTGAAAACTTTTACAGCCAATCAACTGGATGAAATTAAAGATCCCTCCGGACTCTTTTACATTCTCCCTTTTCAGAAGGTAATTAAGATGCTTTATAGTTTTAGCAATGCAGTCTGTTAAAGGCTGTGGGTTAAGCAATATTTATGTTTATTACATGCAATATGTTACAACTGTAGAGGCATAAATAATATTTAAAACAAACATCAGATACAGCAGTGTAGCTTCAGTATCAAGCATGAAGTGTGGCTTCTATAACCTGCTACCAGATACTAATTTAGGAAGCATGATTCATATTATGGTAAACTTACTATGCAATAATTTAAACTAAACGATAGAGAACAACAGAGGTACAGTATCACTTATCTTTGGATCTTCTTGCTTGTAGCTGCACAACATTTACCCCTTTAAATAGGTTTGGAAAGGCTTCCATAATCTTAAAGAAGCAGCTCTTATTTGTGAATTTTGTTAGATTATCAGTCCATCTAACAATTACTGATGGAAGCCTGAAATTTTGCAGATTTGAAGTAGTTAATAAATATGCAATGTTGTCTAATAAATAATGTCTTCCTCCCCCACCCCACCCCCCTCAAAACTTCCACAGGGTTACTTGGTGAACTGGGATGTTCAGAGACAGGTTTGGGACTACCTTTTTGGAAAGGAAATGTATCAGGTAACTAAAACATTTAAGATACAAAAATCTATAAATACAGATTCAAAACAATTAATAGAAGTAATACAAAAATATTCAAAATCACAGATATAATGGTGAATTCACCAATTTATGAATTTTGCAGGAGTATTCAACAAGGACTCACACCTAAAATTTAGAAAATTGAGTTACATATGATTTTGAGCTCAGTTCACTCAGGCCATGACTCTGCAAACTAGAGCCCATGTTTAACTTTACTCATGCAAGTAGTTTTGGTGACTTGAGTAGGACTAGTCACCTGAGTAAAGTTAAACGTGTGTTTGCAAGATTGGCGCTTCAGCTAGTAAAAGTTACTTGATAATTGTTTTCATAGACTTAATTAGTAAACTTACTTGAAGAGTCAGGTTTTGTTGCATGAAGGAGACAGTTACAAAAGTAGAAGAAGGGCTGAGATTTACATTGTGACAGTCTCTTGTAGAATCAAGTAGCCATTTTCTGCGTATTAATTTCTCATTTTTATGACGAATAAGTTGAATTTATAAAGTGTATTAATAGAATATTATTTTGCTCACCACACCAACATGGTTTAGCACGAAAAGAGTGTGAGCGACTCTAGCCTTCATTTTTTTTCATAAGAAATAAATACAATGTTGTTAACTCATAAAGCTGGTCTTTACAGTACTTAAAGGGGAAGACGTTGGGGGCGAAATAACTCCTCAAAATATCTCTTTGTATAGATTTGGGTGGGAAAATTGGGCTTGTTTAAGATTTTAAACTACTGGGTTCATTAAGGATACTCATTATTGCCATGGTTTTGGTACTGGTTTGCAGAGTGAGCACTAAAGAAAGGAACTGTTGACCTGTGTGTTCTAGTTCCCGTTATGGTGAAAGCACCTTAGTGAAGGCCTGTTTTAGAAAGTCTGAGAACTGAGTAAGTGCAGAAAGAGCAGGGGTGAAATCCTGGCCTTACTGAAGTCAGTGTGAGTTTTGCTGTTGACTTCACTGCGGCTAGGATATTACCCAGGTTACTAGAGGAGCCAAGCTTCTATACAAGTGGCAGTTCTGAAGATAAATTGTCTCCTGTAGTTAGTAGGACTAGGGTAAAGTTTCTTGTATACACTTTAAATACTCTTTTATTATTACCCATTGAAGTGCAGAAGAAAGATAAAGGTATAGGTTGTTCTTAAGAGCCACAACATTAAAAATAAGGGCACTGGACAGGGAAATGAAGGAATTCTGTCCTGCCCTGAAAAATTTTAACACGTGGTGTAGAGTGACAGTGCACATACTGTTTCTTGTTAGTTTTTTTTTCCCCCCCTCAAACCCATGTGCCACAAGCAGCAAGTAGCAATGATATCTATAATAGGCCAGGGGGCAATTTTATAGAGCATGGTGGTTGTTACATACCACAAAATGTAAGTAGTATGGATAGTGGTTTCTAAAATGTTGTTTGGGAACATAACTTTTTTTTTTTCCCCCCTAGGTGGACTTTGTAGATACAAATATTATTATTACTGAACCTTATTTTAACTTCAGTTCAATACAAGACTCTATGAATGAAATTTTATTTGAAGAATATCAGTTTCAAGCAGTTCTTAGAGTAAATGGTGAGTATATATTTTGTTGCTCTGCATTAATGTGCTCCAGACTAACTTCCCAATTTAAAAATAATCTGCCAAGAAAATTACTTCATTTATTTCCCTGACTCTGTAGAGCAGTATGTAACTTTTTATTTTTGTAACCTATATTAAATTGTGCATACACATCTAATGTTTGTTCTGTATTCCTCTATATTTGATACTTTAGTGAGAGGATTCTGATATGTAACAGCAAGAAACACAAAGTGAAATAGGGGGAAAATCAGTGTAGGTAGAAAGTCACTTTTGTGTTGCAGCTCCTTTCTGTCAGGGTTCTGTTTTTAAGTTGGCTTCTGATGACAGGAATGTTTGAGACTTCTTGAGATGAGGTAGTATGTGAAAGAGACTGCACTACTGCTTGTTTCTTGGCTAGATTTGTATGGAGTTTCTGACAGTTCTCATTCACTTTTCAAAGTGGCCCATGAAATACATTGCCACAATTATATAATACGTCCTATCCTGCAGAACACATGAAATTGGTGACATGACTCCTCATATAGTGCCCTTTCTGATGATGATATAAAAGTAGGGGAGGGATGACTTGGCAGTGCATGTGAGGAGGGTCTTTGTAAGCAATTCAGTCACGTTTTAAACAAAATTCAGTACTGGTAGTGTTATGCTGAAATTATAGAAAAGATGTGTTGCTTTCTTTTTTTAAAACTGGCCTTGAAATAATAGTCATCTATCTTAGACTTGAACATATAAAATAAATGTTTTACCTTTTTCTGAGGAATGTTTTATAGTTGCAGTTTTCTTTGTTTCTGAAAAATATTTCAAATATTCAGGGGTCACTGAACATAGACTTAATATAAACTATTCTTGTGAATTTATTACACATAGGACACTGTGGGCATGGTCATCTTTTATTGACATAAATGGGAGCAGAATAAATAAATGGGCCCTGTGTTTGTATGTTTCCTCTTTGGAAGTACAGTAGAACCTCAGAATTATGAACATCTTGGGAATGGAGGTTGTTCATAATTCTGAAATGTTTGTAACTCTGAACAAAATGTTATGGGTGTTTTTTTCAAAAGTGTACAACTGAACATTGACTTAATACAGCCTCACAGATAAGGTAAGAAAACTCCTAATGCAGAAATCACTACCAGTCAGTACCACAAATACTCAATGAAAACTTAGGGGATGGACAGTGTGGTTCCTCAGACCACTTTTAATTCTTTTTTGAAAATGTCATCTTGAGATTGTCAGTTCTTTCAAGTGGGAAAAATAATATTTTGTTTTGCATGCTCTCAAGTGGATTTCTTTACATGTATTTTAAAAAGGTAATGCAATGGAACTGTTAAGAGCTTTAAACAAGATCTTAAAATGCCAAATGGAATACCACAATTAAAAGATGGGATAGAGATTTATTTCCTTATCTTGATGCTTTTCAGTTTAAATAAATGCAAAGAAGAATCTTTTTGTATACAGAGTGAAGACCACTTGTAATCTCACTTTTTCAGAATTTTTTTAGATTAATGAGGTAAATAATTATAGCGTTCAAATATTACCTCTAACTGAAAATATAGCTTCCTGGTCAAGGAATATGTGTGGAAAGCTGTATAATTGTTGTACAACAAGCATTTTAAAAGGTATGCTTCCCTTCCAACATCCCCCATTGAGTTTGTGTAGTGTTTCTATTAGAATTGTTGTCACATTCCACCCCAGGAGTGACTGTATTTCAATGCCTGATTAAGTTACTCCTTTATATAAAGCACTGTGGGAATGAAAAAGAACCTGAAAATTGACCAGCTAGACAAATTGATACTAGAAATATGGCATACATTTTTAATAGTGAGTAATTAACCATTAGAACAGTTTACCAAATGTGGTGGATTCTCCATCATGGACAGCCTTTATATCAAGGTTTGATCTTTTTCTGAAAGATATGCTCTAGGAATTGTTTTTGGGAGGTTCTGAAAGGAGGTCAGACTAGATGATCAAAACAGTCCCTTTTGGCCTTGGAATCTATGAATCACCTGGGCACACTGCAAAATCATTCTACTTGGGCTTTTGGGAAGGACAGAGCTGGATAAAGTCTGTTATATTTGAGAGAAGGTGGGGTATTATGTTTGATTAATTTTGGCAGTGGGTGAAATTACACTACTGGAGCTATTCTGTATTGAGTTACCAAAGATCTGCCAAAGGCACCTAAAATATGGGATAGGTACTATATCTATTTAGATACATTTTAGATTTATATATAAATATGGGTTGGCATTTTTGTGTTTCAGCTGGGGCTCTCAGTGCACATAGATATTTCCGGGACAATCCATCCGAACTATGTTGTATCATTGTGGACAGTGGCTACTCCTTTACACATATTGTACCTTACTGCAGAAGTAAAAAGAAGAAAGAGGCAATTATTAGGTAAATTGCCTTATTTCTTTAAGGGTGGCTTTTTTTGATACGTCTGAAGCGAATAATGACAGATTTTTATTTTTTTTTAGGATTAATGTGGGAGGAAAGCTCTTAACCAATCATCTAAAGGAGATCATTTCTTACAGGTAAAATGTGCTAACTTTAGACACTTGAGGCCTGGTCAGAAGCCAATTAAAGTCAATAGACGTCTTTTAATTAACTTAATTAGGGGTTTAGGATTAAGCCCTTTTTGAGGAAGAGGAAAGCCTGTAAAATGACATCTTGAGCTTCAGCTACCATTTTAACACCTTAAGACTCTAGTTCAGCAAAGTACTTAAAGTAGTTGCATAATATTAAGGATGTCAGTAGTCCCATTCAGTGGCATTACTTGCGTGCTTCAAGTTACACATATGCTTAAGTACATTACAGAATCAGGCCCTATGACTTTTTTTTGAGATGTCGTCATAGTAATAAAGCTGTAGCCAGATTTCCACTTAACAAATAAGATGGCCCAGCTCTGAGAAATTGACAGTTTAATTCCACCTGAACAGTGAGTAGAATTCACTAAGGCAGTGTTTGTAGGAAGGTTCTAGATGGGTTGTAGGGCCCTAGGTAAACATACACTTCCCCAGCCCAGTGTGGAGGAGATGCCCTGGGAGGAAGGGGTGCAGTCAGAGAGTGCGCCTGCCTTGCAGTCACCCCATAGTAGTGGCTTCTGTCCCACTGGGCTGGGCCTGACACCCCATTCTGGGTGTTGTGACCAGGTGCATGGGGTTGCAGTGCCACTCAGGTCTGGCTCTGCTGTCCCTCATCCATACCACTCGCTCAAATACCAATTGGCCAGAGTGTAGCCCAGTCCCACAAGGCAGATGCTGCTGCTGCAGAGAAAGTGTGTGGCAGGCTCATTCTCCAACCTCTCCTCTTTTGGGGTCTCTCTTCTGCACTGGGTGGGGATTAGGATTATGGTGCCAGGGTGGAGACGTTTATATGTAATGGTGAGTCGCAAAAAAAGACAAAAGGCAGTTGGTGAGTCACCTTCGTAAAAAGTTTGGGAACCACTGCACGAAGGCTTGCATCCTGTATTGGGATCTCCTGTAATGGACCCTTAAGCCTGTGCAGGCGTCTTTGCTAGGAGAACCGGATGCAAGATCGTGGCCACACTTCTTAGTGCTGATGGCTTTATGTTGTTTGGATTAAAGAGTAAACCATAAGGTCTTTACTATCCAGATGTTCAGAACATGGGACATATTATTTTTGTAGTTTTGCATTTATGGAATTGCATCGCAGCTGATTTATTAGAATACACATAACTGTCCTATAAAATTAAAAACTTTAAAGAATACCCTCTCATTTCTACATGTCAAAACTGCTTATATGTAAGTTAATGTAAACCTCTACATACTAAAATGTTAACTTCTTGCAATTTGAAAACTATAGGAACTGACCAATAGTGAAAAAGAATAATTATAAATACTATATGTTCAGGCGATCTGTTTTCTAACTCTTCTTAATTTTTTTATAGGCAGCTACACGTTATGGATGAAACTCATGTAATTAATCAAGTGAAAGAAGATGTATGTTATGTGTCTCAGGATTTTTACAAAGATATGGAGATTGCTAAGTAAGTTTACTATATTGCCAAATTTGAAAGGAGGTCCAAGTAATCTAATTGGGTAGAGCCAAATCCTACCATCCGTATTCAGGTAAAACTCACCCTTAAGTCAAAGAGACTCTTACCTGAGTATGGCCTCCAGGATTTGGCACACTTTAGCTATGTTCTATTCTAAGTTTGTTGTCTTTTCCAGGTTGAAAGGGGAAGAAAATACAGTAATGATAGACTATGTTTTGCCAGACTTCAGCACAATCAAAAAAGGGTTTTGTAAGGTAATTATGACTGTCAGCCTTTTCTGAAATACTCTGTTTTCCTCTTCTTCCTTGATCGTGAGGGGGGAGGGGTGGATTTTTTTTTTTTTTTTTTTGGTGGTACTGACTGGTAGTAATTTCTGCATTAGGAGTCAATGAGTAAAATTTTCCAAAAAAATGTAAGTGACATAGGGGTCCAAGTTTATCGAATTTTCAAAGTCATGTAGATATTCTCAGATATTTTATCCAACATTTGAAAATCAACTGTCATACCATAGGCTCAGTATCTCAATTTAACCCTGTATTTCTCATTCCAGTGAAAAATTTGAAGTATGTTATATCCTAATTTTGATTACCTTCTCAAAACTGTTGCTTGTTATATAGTTATGATTAAGGCTACGATTTAGTCACAGGTATTTTTAGTAAAAGTCATGGAGAGGTCATGGGCAATAAACAAAAAGTAACAGCCCCTGACCTGTCCATGACTTGTACTATATAAATACCCTTAACTAAAACTTAGGTGCTCGGGGGGAGACTCCCTCCACTGCTGCTCCGGAGGACAGGGCGGCCCGGGGACCAGCCCGGGACCAGCTGCCTGGGGCCAGCCGACCAGTGGCCGGTGTGGCTGGTCCAAAGTCTGCCTGAGCTGCTCAGGCAGCCCTGGGGACAGCCAGACTTGTCGGTGCAGAAGTCACAGAGATCACGGATTTTGTGACTTTCCATGACGTCCGTGACCTTCCTGAAAGACTTGTAGCCTTAGCTATAATTAGGCGTGGCAGAATTTGATTTTCATTTTTTTCTAATATGATTTTTAATGATATTATTTTTAACTTTTTATTTTTGCAGTTGGGAGTAGGGTTGGGGTTAGGGCAGTGCTGACAGCATGGCTGCAGGGGGCTCCCTGTGCAGCCAAAGGGCCCAAGACGCTAGAGCGCAAGGTGCAGGGGCGGGCTGTGGTCGGCCTGGCCTGATGGACCAGGGACCCCTGCCCAGAACTGTAAGCAGAAGGATGAGGCTCTGGCTGTGTGGGAGACCACCCCACTGCTGCGCAGTTCCTGCCCATATTCCTGGCTGGTGAGTGAGCAAGTGAGGCTATGACAGTGGAGCTGCAGAGGGCTCGCTGCATAGCTGTGGAGCCAGTGACATTGGATCCCTGCAGGCCCATGGTGTGGGGAAGGCTGGGGTCCTGGTGGGGCACAGCAGACACCCTGGGACAGGGCTGCAAGGAGGAGGACATGTCCCTGGCTGCTACTGAATGGCTCCTGCCTGGGGACAGAGCCATTCGAAATGACAACTCCTCCCCCTCCTCCTCCTTGCAGTCCTGGCGGGGCATCTCTGCTCTGTGGAGTCAGGACTGCAGTTTTCCCTGAACCTTGTGCCTGCAGGGATCCCTTGTCACTGGCCCCACTCACTCACTGGGCAGGAGCTGGTTCCCTGCAGCCACCAGCTCATCCTACTCCTTGCAGTCCTAGCTAGGGGTCACTGCTTTATTGAGCCAGGACAACTGCAGCCTCCCACACACCTTGGGCATGCAGGGATCGGGTCTCACTGGCCCCACTGTTGTGCAGGGAGCCCTCTGCAGTTCTGCTGTCATGGCCCTCCTCCCTCACTCCCATGATAGTGGAGCTGCAGATCCTGGGGCCAGTGACACCCAATATCAGCAGGTGCAAAGTGTGGGGAAGGCTGCAGTCCTGGCAGGGCAGAGCAGAGACTCCCAGCTTGTAAGTGAGAGGGGTCTGTGCCATTGGGGCTGCAGAGGGCTCCTTTCATTGCCCCAGAAGCCATTCAGCAGCTGTGTGGCCTCCCACACAGCCAGGGGCTTGGGCGCCTCCTCCTTGCAGTCGTTATGGCTAGGAGCCTCTGCTCTGCCTTGCCAGGACTGCAGCCTTGCCACTGTACCTTGTGTCTGCAGCAATCAGGTGTCACCAGCCCTGAGACAACACAGGGAACCCCCTCACTCACTCCTGTAACAGCAGGGCTGCAAAAGGCTCTCCTCGTGGCTAGTGACAACCGATCTCTGCAGGTACCCCAACTGTTAGTGACTATTTTTCTTGTTGATTTCAGTATTGTTTATTTCAGTGTATCAGCTGAAATGATGTTTGCTGACAGTTATCAATTTTACAATCCAATGCTGCCAAGCTTAGTTAAATATAACTTCCTTGGCTGTAATTTAATAGTTCTATATCAAAGTGTAGTCATAAGGCACAATTCTGATTCTGATATCTTTCAGCTGTTTTCATATGCTATCCTGAGAAGTTTTGCTACTTCCTAGAACTCAGACGCTTACCTTGTAGTCAATATGTGTTTTGGATGAATTTTATTAGCATGATTACCAATAGAAATTGAGATAATTAAGGAAGGGATACTGTCTTCCATTATAGTGTCCTGTTTCTTTTGTTCATAACTCACCTTTTAGGGCTGAAATTTTCCATGCCTGTACTCCATCCTATGGCAATATATTTTTCACAAGGATCCAAATATCTTTTTTGAGTTATGAGGGTGAAAAAAATGTTCTCCTGCTAGAATAACACAAATCTAATACTTAGACTTTGCAAAATTGCTTATTAGTAGTGTCATTTAGAGAAGTAGAGTAAAATTTTCAAAAGTACCTAAGTGTGCACTAATCTTGCTTAGGCAAAACTGCAGGTGTCAGTGCAGAGGCTGGAATGGGGCTCCCTCAAAAATGCAGCACCAAAATGCTTTCATGTTGACACCACTGTCTGCTCAGTATGGCAGTAAAAAGTAAACATCGGACACAATTCTCATGCTTAAAGACTAGAGTAAGGGATTACAAAGCATTCTGGAACAGATGTCCGCTCCCAAAGACTTGTGCATGATACATGACTCAATCTATAGAAGATACTACCTTCAAAACATCCATAACAGGTGAAGAATATGTAAACTATGAGATCAGATAAAGTTGTTACTCTTGTGTATGTTCTTCCATTTTTAAGAGGTAGTTATCCTTCATGTCTGCCTAATTTAGCCAAGGGAAGAAATGGTGTTAAGTGGAAAATACAAGACTGGGGAACAAATACTTCGTCTAGCAAACGAGAGATTTGCTGTTCCAGAAATTCTCTTCCATCCTTCAGATATTGGCATTCAAGAAATGGGAATTCCTGAAGCCATTGTTTATTCAATTCAGAACTTGCCTGAAGGTATGGTGGTTGCAATGTTTTGAAATGTATTCTTGAAGTCTGAATATTTTTGTTAGAATCCAAAGTGTATCAGAAGCTTAGCATACTTTGTGCCAGGCATTAAAGAACTAAAAATTAATTAAAAGTGCAACAGTTTTAACTCCTTGTGAATGTCCAGAGCTCTTTTGCAGTTTCCTGTAGTATTTCCTGTTGTAGAAATGCTTGCTCACTCTGGTAAGCTGATTGGTTTCTGTTTGTGCTTCAGATAAAGTATAACAATATGGATGGAAACCTCATGAGTTCATTTTCCAGTACAAAACACAACCACATTGAATTCTTTCCTCTGAGGATGGAATCCTCATAGCTGCACTTGAACTTAATTTCATTTTTATTTTAAAATGCCTTTAGTGTTGGGGGAGGAGGGAATTCATGCTGGCCACAATATGCTGACAAATGAGGCCACTGAATCTTAAAAATGAAAACTAATCACCCCTCTGGCTGTGTTGTATTCTGTGGAAGCAACAATTGTAACGTGCGTTATCATGTTAGTAGGTGTGTAGATACATTTCTAATGAATATGGCCAAACTTCTGCAGGGGAAAATGTTCATGACTATGTGGTGTCACTTCACAGCTGTAGCATCAGAGCCACAAAATTACATTCATTCTAAAAATATGAAAATTAAAATCTCTTGGACATTGATACTACTGTATTTCTTTCCCCTAAACTGGGCTGTTTGAGAGTGTTCATGAAATCCAACATTTTTTTAATAATATCTAAAAGACAAATTTTGAAAGCCACACAAAGCAGAGGGACACTAATGAAAGTTTTCTTATTTAAAAAGGGTGCAGTTCATCAAATACACCCATCACACAAGAAAACTAGTTTCACACTTGTGATTATCAGCTTATTAGTGGAGCCTCTTGATATATGCACATTCTGTGGCTTACAGTTATCCATGCAATACCCTTTCTCTAAATATAACCAGTATGTATTTAATATATGTAGAACATTATCTAAAGCATAGTTAAAAACATTAGTTTTAATTCTTGTCCACTTTAACTTAAAGTTCATGAAGAAATTAGAGAATCTTAAGCTGTTATCACTAAATACATATGTTTTGGTTTTGTTTAAAGAAATGCAGCCTCACTTCTTCAAGAATATTGTTCTGACTGGGGGAAATACCCTTTTCCCAGGCTTCAGGGATCGAGTCTACTCTGAAGTTCGATGCCTCACTCCAACTGATTATGATGTTTCTGTTGTTCTGCCAGAAAAGTAAGTCCTAAACAATATAAATAAAAATGCATCTATTTTTCTGTTTGGTTCTCCTAACAGAATAGAAATTGTAAAGTAGAATTCCTTCTGTTAATTAAAGATGCTTATCTGTGTCATCTTTATATTCCATCATTTAACTTAATCTGTTCAAGTGGCCCAAAACTGAACCAGAAGGATGTTGTAACTCAGTACTTAAAGTGCATTTGCAGAGCTATATTGTGCTTGCTGCAATCCTGCAGACACTTACATGTGTGCTTAAGTTTACTTTTGTGAGTAGTTCCATTGAAATCAATGAAACCATCCACAGCAGCAAAGTTAACCAGTTGCATATGTGTTTGCAAGATCCGGGGGATTATTTTCACATCTCTTATTCTGAAGAATTCCTGAGTGTTATAAACATTATACATACCATATCACTGATACCTGCAGCACTTCTGGGATTTGGAGAGTAGCAACGGGGTGGATGACTGACAGTGTCAGGAGTTGCCAGGGCAGATATTCACCTCTCTTAAAATCATTATGGAAACATTAATGTCTGCGCAGAGTAGCGAGAATGTAGGTTCAAAGTCTCATCCTAAAGATTCCCCCACCAAATAAATACATTGTATGGGAATTTTATCTACTGTGGAAGGATGGAAGGCCAGCTCGAATTTGAACCTTAGTTTTGAAACATTCCTTTCAACCAGATGCTTAAACACTGTATCATACCCACTGGCTCCAAACCAGTTTTGTTAGTACAAGCCATTCACCTTTAAAGAATAACTTGATCAGATTTTTTTTTTTTAAAGTTAGCCTTGTAAATGTGAAGTGTGTTGGGTTTTTTTTTTTTTTTTTTTTAAGAGGAAAACATTCTCTACCCATGGAAATTAGTTATTTGGCCTCTTTGAGGAACCTTAAAACGTGATGATCAAATAACTGGTACATGCCTGATGTAATAAAACAGTTTTAAACGGAAGCCTCTGTATTTCTGCTAAACGTGTGATCACTCTCCTATACAGTAACTCCTCACTTAAAGTCATCCTGGTTAACGTTGTTTCATTGTTACGTTGCTGATCAGTTAGGGAACATGCTCACTTAAAGTTGTGCAGTGGTCCACAATTATGTTGTTTGGCTGCCTGCTTTCTCCACAGCTGGCAGCCTCCCTATGCCCCCCCCCCCCCACAGCACCTCCCACCCGCCGTCAGACCCCACGGATCAGCATCTTCACCTTCCGCCTCCTGCACACAGCAATCAGCTGGCTTGTGACATTTAGGGGGAGGGGGGGGAGAGCAAGGACTCCACGCACAGGCTCCCCGTCCCTCCCGTGCCTCCTGAACACCGCAAACCAGCTGATTGCCCTGGGCAGCGGGCGGGAGGGAAGGGGAGCCTGCGCACCGAGTTCTCACTCCTCCTTCCTGCCTCCTAAATGCTGCAAACCACCTGATTGCCTCGGGCAGGAGGGAGGGGGGAGAAGCGAGGACTCGGCTTGCTGCGTTCAGAAGGGAGGGGGGAGGAGCAAGGACACAGTGTGCAAAGTAAAGGGGGAGGAGGTGGGGTGGGGAGGGGAGAAGAGGCGGGTCAAGGGTGAGGGCTTGGGGGAAGGGGTGGAGTGGGCGGGCTGAGGGTTGAGTGATGACAACCCTGACAGGGAACGCAGCTCTAAAGTGATTAAGGGAGTTGGTCATCTGATGACTTGCTATAAAGAAACTTACCAAGAAAAAAAAAAAAGGAAAGCAAAACAACAATCTCTAGATATGTTTTTTCGAGTTCAGAAAGTTCAGCAAGAGGAGCAGCCGGATAATCCACCCTCTTCCACTCTCTGACTCCACCATTTCAACCAAGCTTCATACTCAGCAATGATGATTGTAGTATTAAATTGCTTGTTTAAAATTGTTTAAAACTTATACCTGTATTAAATTGCTTGTTTAAACTGTATATAATGCCTTTTGTCTGGCAAAAAAAAAATTTCCCTGGAACCTAACCCGCCCTTATTTACATTAATTCTTATGCGGAAATTGGATTCGCTTAACGACGTTTCACTTAAAGTCACATTCTTCAGGAACATAACTACAGTGTTAAGTGAGGAGTTACTGTATAGATCTGTGATCTAGCTATATAAAGGTTCTTTTGTTTAATAGAAATCCTGCTCTCGCTGTCATCTAATGAGTTCTGATACCAATTCACCACCATTCTTTGGCCCAATTAAGTTGTTCTGATTTCCTTAAATGGACACTGTCATTTTGAAAATATCACTTGGGTGAGGTATAGCACCAACAATGAACTTGTAAAAGTTTTCATCAAATATTTGCTGCTGAAGCTCAATGCAGGACTCATTCCCCTTTCCTAAAAAATACATGGTTACCAATTTAAAATTTTCATAAACCCACTAAAAAGATCTGGAATACTCTGAGTCAGGCCCCCACTGCATCTTTCTAATGAATGCAGTTTTTCAGCAGATTGTCCTGATGTATAGGCATAATGTCTTCTGGTTTTACATTTTGTTAATGGTTGTGGCTAATTTCTAAGTAAAAGCCCTAAAATGATGATCTCACTTTTTCAAATTACTACATAATTTGAAGTATTTAAAACTAACGTGTGTGGTAACTTTTTTTCCCCCCCAGCCCTATTACTTATTCTTGGGAAGGTGGAAAGTTGATTTCTGAAAATGATGATTTTGAGGATATGGTAGTAACTAGAGAAGATTATGAAGAAAATGGACACTGTATTTGTGAAGAGAAATTTGATATTTAAGTGCCACATTTGGATATATAGTGATACTCCACTGTTTCACTTTGAATGGAACTTATTTGAACTACAAATTATTTTATGTAAATTAGAACTGTGTTCTAACTTTCTTTCCTATAATTAGGAATGTACAATGAATTAGTGCAAATAACTTTATTTTCACAGATTTTAAACTACCACTGAAGACTAATATGTTATATATCACCCTTTGTCATTTTATCTTTAGATTCTGTCCTTACTAAAATTTTTCAATAATTGTGTTATTTTACTTTAAAAAAGTGTTAAAAAAACTGTTAATGGCATGAAACAAAAATATTTGAAGATTAGTGTAAAACAATTGTATAGAAATGAAGCTTTAGTCTAAATTTTATTTTCTCTTCCAAGATGAATGCTATTGTCTTTTACTGAAATAGTATGCAGAATAATCTGCATCAAATACTCTTTAACCTGGAGCTCATTTTAACATGTCCTGGGAGGAAAAAATCCTATGAAAGGCTTACTTTGACTGGTTGAAATTATCTCAGTGAATGGCTAAACAATGGTTAAACTCAAAGTGTAATTATTCCAGTGTGGACTGTACCCCAACTTTCTGAATACTTTTCTTTTTTATAAGTTTAGGATAAGGCTATAGAGCAGCGATTAACCCTTTGCACAGCTCCCATATATAGTTTAGAAAAAACAATTCAGTCTCCAGATTAACTTCTTTGTTAGCCTTCCAGCACTGACTCTAACTCTGCCCTTTATTTTGACTACTGGACTCACATTTGAATATTAAATTATAAAAAAAAAGTTTGAGTTGTATATAGTTCACCAACATCTCAGGTCTCTATTTTAATCCTTGTCCTTCCATACCTCCCCCTTTGTTCTCCCTTGCTGTTGCATTTAATTTAGATAGTTAACTTTCAGATATAGACCCATCAGCTGTGTCAAGTGCCATGAATATCCGCTATAGATGTATTAAAATTAAACATACTTCCAATTGGCCTTTGCAAAACATCTTAATCTAACTTTCTCATGTAATAAATAATTTCATTAATTTGAAATGTATGTCCTGTTTCCTTTTTTTTAAAAAGAAAAAATTGCCTGGACTAGGCTACACTTTTGCATTTTGGATGCAATATATTGTAGCATTCTTTCCTTGCCGCATCTCAAGTATTGTATGTACCAGAAAGGAAGAGGATCCTTGGTTACTGAACAGAGTGCATGTGACTTTACAACAAAATACTAGAAGTGATTTATGGAACAATCCAGTAATGGTAGAGTGAGATCTACTAATTTAATTCTGTTTAAAGAACATAAATGTCACTAAGATGGACTCTGATCTTCAGAGAGATATGGTCCATTTGAGGTGGTGAAAGGGTGGGCTGGCTGTTAGTGGAAATGAGGTGGCAGAGTTTTAAGACTGGAGTGGAGGGGAAAGAGTGAGAAGGAGATAAAGTAGAGTTTTGGGGTTTTTTTAATTGAAGTGAAGATACATTTACCATTGAAATAAACTGACATTGGAGGCCAGGGCATAGGCAGTTGTGAGCCAGATCTAATGCTGGAGCAGCCAGCGTGAATACTGGAGAACCCCAGGAAAGGCACAGCACTAAGAAGTCCAGGGCAGTTCTCCCTACTTCTCATGAGGCTTGGATCAGCCAAGCACCCACGTGGGGTGCAGTAGGTGCGAACCACAGCAGCCGTGCTAGGCCTGGAGGGTTATTCCATCTCCACCTCCTGCATGGGGAGGTGCTGTTCGTTTCTCACCCACGGTACTGGCTGCTGGGCAGGTAAAAGGGAAGTAACTAAATGATTCAATAGAGCTCTGAGTAGTATCAGACTATGATTAGTGATTCAAGGCGCTATGAATGATTACCCAGTGAGGCTAGATCAGTTAGCAAAAAAAATCAAATGGGTAGGAATCAGATGGTCATATAAGCATTCAAAAAATTAGACATCAATTACAAGGAAGCATGTGGCTACCATTCAATGACAGACAATTGCAAATAGGTGGATTAACAAGGCAAGCAAACCTTAAAGTCCAGAAGAGTCAGCCAAGAACTATAACATGGGGAGAGAAGCAGGGCTTAAGTGACGGTGATTTCCTGTCAAAACTGAAAAGTCTTAAAATATTGATTCAAAGGCCAGAATTTGTCATATTTGATGCACTGCCTCTGGGTTGCAAAATGTTTTTTGGCTCTTGACCCTTTAAAGGGAGGAGGCAGGACTCTGCAGAAGATGGAAATGACATGGCAGAGCAACTTGTGGGCCACTAGCTGGGTCTGAAGATCTGGGTTAGGTATCTACATACTCTGTAGGGTTTCATTGTGCCTTCATTCAGAATTGCTACTTTATACAACTTGTAGTTAATGCTATTTAAAAGCAGGCACTTGGGGACAAAACGATGACAAGACAAGAATAGCAAAACCTCTGTTTCCCCAAGGAGTCAAAGTGGGAATCTAGGCAGGAACATCAGATTCCATTTTAAAGTGTCTTCCACAGCTCCATTTTATGTGCAGCCTAAGACTTCATTGAGTTCTGAATTAACAAATCTGGTTACAAGGTGAAGGTTAAACTGCATGTGAGAATACTTTCTTCTACCAAGTAGTTACAAAACACAGTCTCACTTAAGATCTTAAACATAGTAAGTACACTAGATATTTGACATTTTAAAGTGTGTAGTTTGTGGATATCTGGTATGATCTGCATTTGTAAGCAGATGTCAGGAGTGGCAGAAATGAGTTTTAGGTGAGACTTCTAAAAAATTAGGAAATGTAAAAATACTGTTTCCATAGCAATAGGTACTCAGCCCTCTTGCCAGCAGCAGAACGTTATCCATCACGAAGGCTAAGTTTTTGTCATGGATCTTTTTTGTAAAAGTCATGGACAGGTCATGGGAAATAAACAAAATTTATGGCAGCCTGTGACCTGTCCTTGACTAAAAAAAATATCCCTGACAGAAGTGATAGGTGGGTTCAGCAGTGCAGTGCGTGGGAGCTCTGGAGTCCCCCTGCCCCTGGGCTGGGCTGCTGTGGGGATCCCCTTGTCTGGGCAGATGGTAGCTGCAGGGTCCCCCAACTGCTGGCTCTGGCTGCAGCTGGGCAGCTCTGGGGAGTCCCTGCTGCCCACTGGGAAGATGCAAGGGGTCTGCCTGCTGCTGGGCAGCTGCAACAGGTCCCCCAGCTGCCTGCTGTGGGCCATGGCTGGGCAGCTGCATGGGGTCCCCCCCCCCAGGTTTGGGGCTGGGAACTGTGAGGGCGGGGCTGGTTGGGAGTTCCAGCTCCAGGGCAGAAAATGTCACAGAGGTCAGTGGAAGTCATGGATTCTGAGACATAATTGTAGCCTTTTCCATCAGTATTGAGAGAAGCTGTTCTTATAAGTTCTCATTCTTTCCCCAGCACCACCCCAAAACTGCAAACAAGTGAAAAGTCCTGGGATAATTACTTTATTCTAATTAACATATTTGGTAGCTGCCATGGCGGGAGTACGTTCTCACTAAAAAGATGCAAAGGCAGTATTCCTTAACTAGGTAGTTCTGCCACAAATATTGGTAAAGATAGTTAAGCACTTTTAAAAGTCTAATATAGTTCCCTTGAATGCTGGTGTATGGTTGAAATTATAACTGATGGTGGAAAAACTGGAAGTGTACTAACTTATTTGTTGCCTGGCTCCCTTCCCCCAATTGAACCCATCTTCCTACTTCATTTAGCAGAAAGCCTCACAGTTAACATTGGGAGACTGCTTTTTCCTCCCCCATAGAGGACATGGCTCAAATGTTGTAGGACCCTGCTAAGTGCCTAATTGGGTAAGGGCCTGATTTTCACAGGCTGAACACCAAAACTGCACTATAAAAGAATAAACAGGAGTTGTAGGAGCTCAACACCTCTGAAAAATGAGGCTCCACTAGTATAACATTCTCACTGGCCAAGATGTTACATAAGATTAGTTCACCCCACTGCTCGGTAGAAACAGTAAGTTCCTACAAAGGTAAAGCAGACCTTAATTTTGAAATTAAGTGTCAAAGCAAAGCCACTGAAATAGCTTAAGGAAAGATTTATTCCATGGGTTATTGTTTTACTGAATTAGTAAACTATAGACCCTTCAGATGTATAGTAGTAATCTTGCTCATATAATTGTAAGTGATTTAAGTAAATGGCAACTTAAATGATCTGACCCCTTTTTAAAGTAGCTTAATGTGCTTTTGGAACTTGCAGTGTCCTGGAAAGTGTACTTGAGCAGCTCTGGCAACTCTTCCTAGATTTTTTTAGCTGTAGAAAGTGTAATGCCCTGTGTAGTATGTCAACCCCTTAAATAAGTGGGATGTGCCACTTCCTCTTCCAAATGTGTCGACACTACTTGTTGGTTTGGATTTGAGTCAGCTGACAGTGTAAGCTTTTTCCAAAATCACGACTTTGTTTTGTAATTGACACTCCTTAAAATTTGTCATTTACAGAGGTTTATTTGTACTTGTATTAAGTAAGTACATCATTAAAACTTGTTTAATGTGAAATTTAAGTCATAATATAAAACACTGATCTTTTCCCAATCCTCTTACACAATTCTTTATAACAGCGATACATTGACAATTTTTAAATTCCTAATACAAGATCATTCCAGTAGATCTACCAATTTAAGGATAATTTTTTTTAAAAAGTGCACATACGCAATCTACTCAAGTTCCAAAACCTTCCTCAAAAACAGCTGTGCTGCAGCCCAAGATGTTAGGTTGTCTCTTTATAAATTTTAGCCATTCTTATAATGTATATTTCAAAGCTGGTGTCTAAATCATATTTTTTCCAAAAATTAATGTTTCATAGCATTATAGTAGAAGGTAGAGAGAAGATAAAGAACTGAAGCTATACCTCACACACTCTCCCTCCTCCCCATAGACTTTTGAGGTCATCATAGATAAAGTAATCTACTCAACTTTTACTCAACATTCTGCAAGTTTTTAAATCAGAATTTTACAAAGCACAAGCTGTGCATAAAAGGTATAAATCAGGCTATGTTTGAAGCAGCAAATACCAAGGACTCAGCTGCCATAGCCAAAACTAAAATAACTGAAGAAAGTTACTTCAGATTTTTCATCAGTTTAACAGGAATCTAACACTAAGGGTGTGTAAGACATTTCCACAGGTTGCCTCATACTTTATTGCCTCATACTAAAGTGTTTAACTGGTACATATACACTTCAAATATATCAGTTAAGGCAATTATTTAAGTCTTAATAGGACAATATAATTTAAGAATTACTCAAAGAACCATTATGGTAACACACTATACACAGCTATAATCTGGAATCAAACATTTCTGTATCAGACATTTACTACACAAACCTGCCCATACCTGTCTCTATGGTGTAGAACAGAGCCCAGCGGTGGGACTGGGATCCTATAGGTTCTGCTGCCATAATAACTTTGTCATGGGTGAGACTGGGTGGGTAAAAAAACAAAAATCCACACAACTGTGGTAATTTGCAAGAAAACACTTCAAAACTTTTAATACTTAAATTTAAGTGAGGGATAGAAAGATTTGATGTCTATTATACCAGGAGTTTTTTACAAGTATTTTTTACATGGTTTAAGCAAGAGGTGTTATTCTTTTGGTGGTAAAATTGTGGCTGAATTCCATACTTTTTTATGTAATATATTTGACAGGTTTTTTCCCTTGTAGAATAGAGCAATCTGTCTCTCTTGTGAGTTCTAAGGTGGGAGTGGGATAAAAATGCAAGAAACAATGGGGGAGTGGGTGGGAGTGGGATTTAAAAAAAAAAAGTACCGTGCAGGGCTCTAGTGTACACCAACATAAGTCCGTTTTCTGCAGCACACAGTTACAGTTATATCTGTGCCCTATAGATCCCTGAGGCTTGTCCTTGTGGCAAGCTAGGATGTGAACATACAGCACACTAGATTGCTGCATATTAATTTTCCATGTGGATGCTGCTATGGTGCATTAAAAGTTCCATAGTGCACTTTGACATACTCCCCAACTAATGCACTGTATGCACACCAACTCTCCGTGTAGATAAGTCCTAGAACTAGATTAAATTTATGAACTACAGCCATACTAAATTTTAAATACTTAGAAATTTAGTAACTCAAACTTAAGTCAGAGTAAAAGTGCTTTAAATGCAGAATTTCAGTCAGACTATTAACTCAGACAGTTTTCACAACAGAAATGTCACCAGACTCTAAACTTAGAGCAGCAATAGAGGCCCAGCATGCTTACCTACTGTAGAAAAACAATGTCTAATATTGGGGTTGTTCAAAAAAATATGACCCTTTAACAATTAATGCTTATGAAAAGGAGTCCTCTTCATAAGCATTATGTCAGCATTCTAAAAACGATAGTTGATGAGGCTCATTTAAACATTCCATTACAATGCAAAACCGCATTCAGTTTCAAAATCACTACAACAGTGCTACAGAATGATGCTTTTGGAATTCTTTAAATAGCTTCTTTTTCTGCTTCAGAGAAATGGTGGGATTACTGTCCATCTCTTGAATCAACTCTTGAAGATGGTGCCTTGTTTGTTGCTTTTGGTCTTCAAATTCTTCAGGAGTCAAACGCTGACAAAAGGTGAAGCCTTAATAGGAAAAAAGGTTTGAATTATTTTACAGACATTACACTTTTATATATTTAATAGCAGAATCATATAAATGTAAGGCTGGAAGGGAGCTCAAGAGATCATCTAGTCCAACCCCTGATGCTGTGGCAGGATTAAGTAAACCAACAGGTGTTTGTCTAACCAGTTCTTAAAAACTTCCAGTGATAGGGATTTCAAAACATCCCTGTATGTTCCAGTGCTTAATCATCATTATAGTTAGAAAGTATTTCTTAATATCAAACCTGAATCTCCCTTGCTGCAAACTGAGCTGATTAGTGCTTGTTCTGCCCTTGGTGGATGTGACGAAATTGATCAGCAACCTCTTTGTAACAACCATTTGTGTATTTGAAGACCTATGCCCCCCCCCCCCAATCCCCCGACAGTATTTTCTGCTCTAGATTAAACGTGCCCAGTTTTTTCATCCATTCCTTATATTTTCTCTTATTTTTGTTGCTCTCCTCTGGATTCTTTCCAATTTGTTCACATCTTTCTTAAAGTGTGCTACTGGACACAGTACTCCACCCGAGGCCTCACTAGTGCCAAGCAGAGCTGAACAATTACCTTCTGTGTCTTACATATGATCCTCCTGTTAATACATCCCAGAATGACATTTGCCTTTTTTGCAGAAGCACCACACTGTTGACTTATATTAAATTTGTGACCCACTATAACCCCCAAATCCTTTTCTGCAGCACTAGCGGAGGAATCCTAGCTGGGACAGGTGCAGCCCCTGGGCGGTTTCGAAGCTCTTGAGGGTGGGGCCATAAGAGACCAGGAGGGGATTGGGCGCACTGCCGTGTTGGGGGGTTGCGCCACATAGGGCTGGGGTTCTGATCCTGGAAACGGTGTAGTGAAGTTGTGTCTGCGCAGTGTGGCTCTGCGGGTGCCGGAAGAGGGTGGAATTGTCAGTTGGGGGCTGGGGAGCGCCGGGCGGGCAGAGCAGGGCAAACCCCAGGCCCCGCTCCCTGGCAGGAGCAGGGCAAGCCCCCAACCCCTGGCAGGAACTCGAGGGATGGATAAAAATGTCTGATGTGCTGGAAGCAGCTCGTGGGCCATAGTTTGCCCACCCGAGAATAGGATAAGGCCAGTGCTCATCTGCTTCAAGATACTGGTTATAATCCATGGGCTGAAGTAGAGTCTGGATCTGCTGGGCGGATACTCAGAAGCCTAAGACCCACAGAAAAGGAGAGTTCCTTTTGTTCTCCCTACACAAAGTCCATTTAATTACAGCTTCATACAGGGTAAGAGGATTTGGTTAATAGTGTTAGTACAATCTAATAGTTTTATTAAATGTCTAACAAATGTATAGAACAAGATAGGGCCATGTACAGTGTTACCCAGTTCCCATAATTTGTTTCTCTTTGGTGCTTTAGTATTTAATACCTACAATGCCTGAATTTTCAATAGAAAAAAAGTAAGTAAAGAATAGTCAAAAGCAGTAGCTGAATAACCAGATGACCGAAATAGCAAAGTGGTTAAAGAACAATTCTGGAGGAGGACATTTTTAGAAGCAGGGTCAGAAGCAAAGGAATTAACTGGAAAAAAAAATCTATTCCCTGACAAATATTAATTAAAATATTTTTTATACATACTCTAGCCTCAGTTATGCTTAGGAATTTAAGGATTCCTGCTCATCAAGAAATTGAAGGACAGTATTCTTGCAAGCAAAAAAGAATCGACTGGCCTATGCATGAGACATCTACGGGTGCAGCAAAAACCCCAAAACCTTTGAATGCTAGGATAATTTGTGCATGCCTCATGGTAGAAGCATGATAGGAACACAGTCAAATGAAATCTTCAGAGAAACCAAATTACAGGCAAGTAATTTTCCCTTTTAATAATATGCTAAGTAGAAAAGTGAACCAAACATTCTACCAAAATAATAGTTTATATGTTTTTAGCCAAATCTTATTTTACACTATTTTCTTCTGAATTTAACTTTGTGAAGGAAATTACATAATCAATTACAGGATTGAAGAGAAGTTAGAATATGGCCTCGGTCTCCATTTAATGCTATGCTT